TAAAGAGAAGGAGAAATGTATTTAGCTAGGCAAGTAAGCCATGACTCTGATACCATGAATGCATATAGAAAAAGAAGATTTTTCTTCTTCATTTTCTGTTATAATCAATTGGTACAAAAAACTGAACTTATAAAGTTTTACTTTTCTATTTCTCTTCTTAATTTTAAGAGCAAATGATTACACGATCAATAATAATAATTTCTTAAAATTTACAGCAACAAATCCTAAAGATATACTGTAATAATTCCTAAAAATATGCAATAATAAATTGTAAAGATATGCCGTAATAATTTTAAAGATATGCGTCAACTTCTGATTCTTTTCGTATATTTCTATACTTAGTATTTTTAAATTCTTTATATTATTTAGGAATACTAGTTATATTTAGAAATTTATTATTTTATCTTTTTTAGTTTTATATTTTAATTATCAGTTGCAATTAGTGCTACATAAAGGCCCTTACCTAGAGAATAGGACCCAAAATAAATTGAGAATTATTTACTAGGCTTGTAATCCTGTTTTCTCTTCTCCTAGATTGTATGTTGACTGCCTGCTATTCCCCTTTCTTCTTACTTCTTCACCTTGTTCCTCGTCTCCTCTCTATGTTCTATCTTTTGTTAAGTGTACAATACTTTTGAGACCAAATTGTTATTAACATGATGATATGACAATTATTGTTGTTTTTTGACTAATCGTTTATTTCCATCATTTGAACATCCTTCTCTTGCAGTTTTAATTATAAACCATTGATCGATTTTTATGCACTGTTGTGAATGGTATTCAAAACCCCATTGCTTGTTATGGTTGGCTCTTTACATTTGGCAAGCGTGAGAATCTCATGTCCGCAGGAACCATTTGAATGCTACCATATGCTGGATATTGAAGTTGGTCTAGGGCTGAAGAGGAAACATTTGATAGCTATCTCACTTTTGGTTGGAAATGACCATGACCTACATGGGGTGCAATGAATTGGGCTTTGACACAGCTCTTCAGTTTGTCGAAAATTTTAGTGAAGAGGAGATATTGGATAGGTCTGCCTCTAAGCTGGATTTAAATGTCAGATTTTTTTTTTTTTCGTGTAATAGTTTTCAATATGGATCTTGGGTGAATATAGTTACAACTTCTCTTAAAAAAAATTCTATGCAGATTATGTGAAATAGGCCAGGGCATTACACCAGTAGGCCAGGGCTAATTAAGTCTTTAAATGATGTCGAGCACAGTTCAGAAGAGAGCTTGCACTATGCAAGATCTTCTCAATGTTCCTTTTGTGGGCATCCTGGCAACAAGAAAGCACATTTCAAGTTTCCTTGTGAATATTTTGGTCCTGGTATTGACGGTTGTATATAGAATTCGGCAGGGTTTAAATGTACGTGTCCCCTTTGAAAAGGTAACTTTTTCTTTGTTATTTTGGATTTTATAGTATGTTGATTTTTGGGTTTTCTGCTTCCCTACTTCAAAAAACTACAGTTATCTATTTTAATAGCAGTCTCTAGAAGAAAAGGAGCAAAATAAACATGGTAACTGCTGGATTAAAGTTTGTAACAAGATTACTGCAGAACCATGCTTTCCTAATAACCAGATTATTGAGCTCTACTTGTGTGGCAATAATGGAAAAAATACTGGTATGCTGGTTCAGTTTCTTAAGTGCCATCGATTTTAATAGGTCGATTTGAGCTTTTTATAGATTTTTATTTTGCTAGGTCTTTGCAGTGTGTTAAATTGAACATTTTATGATCAACCCAATTGGTTTCAGTTTTTCCCTTCTTCCTATTCTCTTGTTAGTGGTTCCTGCTTCCTTTTTTCATTTTCCTTTTGGGATTAATCCACTATTTCTTTTTTTTGGAGAATATGCAATGCATATGGGCTGTTTTTCTAGGATTTCTATACAGGCATTTGTTTGTGTTCATTTAAGATTCTGGTTATTTTTTTTTGTATGATAATAAATATTTGTCTTGGACACGGTAAAAGATGGCTACCGTATATCATGGAAAAGCACATAATTTTTGGTTGTTTCTTTGTATGATATAAATATTTTTGTTTGGATGGAGCAACTGATGCCCATTCTGTATTGTGGGCTAGCATGGGAAGCTCATCAGTTTCTGGTTATTATTCCTTTGTATGACGCAAATATTTATTTATTATTTTACTTATTTATATATGCAGCAACTGATGGCAATTCTATATCTTGGGGAAGCCCAAAAACTGAAATGCTGGTCGGTTTCTTGGCTTATCACCAGCTCTGGGAGCCATCTTATATTCGTCAGAGAATGCTTCCTATGTTGTCCACTATATATTTAAGAGAAATATGGCTAGAAATCCAATGAAGACCTTGTTATATGGGCAATCTGGCTTTTATTCTATCCACTGCAGAAAGATTCGGTATGGGCATCAATTTTTTGTGGTCAAATGGCAGAAAGCTACGCCCCTGTCAAGTAATGTCGTCAACACATTGCCAGTTAAGCTGCGGCCTACCAATGCTAGTTTTGGTAGTTCATTACTTCATCTTGAGAGTTCTTCAACATGCTTTATTCATTATTGATTATGTCTTACGAAAAGATATACAGAAAGAGAATACCCTTGAACAAGTTGCTTGATTATTTCTTTGTCCTTGAAATTTGGCTGCAGGAACTGGAATAATCAAAAAGAAGAAAGAATCCAAGCTTGAGATATGAAGAGTCTGTCAAAAAATCAGAATCACCAAATTCCGAAGGTATCCAACTGAATATTACCGAATTTTACCGCTCAACAAAAGTACAAGTTCAGACAAAATTAGGAGAAGGTACAAACAAGAATGCTGATTCTGGTGGCAGTACATTGAATGAGAAGAGGAAGACATCAAACTATAACCTCTCTAAGGCCACAAGACAGTCGCCTTTTGTTGGAATGGGACATGGGAGACTGATTTTGGATAGCTCAGGGAAAATGCTACTCAAGATGTGAAGTTGTGTTTTATAAATGGGATTTAGTAATTGGGTAGAAATTTTGACTTGGGAAGATGTTAGTTGAATGAAATTTGGTAATTAGATAGAAACATGAACTAATTGGAATTAGTATATTTTATGACCTTGTACAATTTAGGGTTTGCCTCTGGCCTGTCCTGAAAGAATCATACCTACATATTTAACTTATAAAAATACATTAAATATCACTTGATTCGTTATGGTTCTATAAAGATAAATGATTTTCAAACTCTCTATTTTACTAGAAAGATAAAAAGATTAGAACCGGTTTAAAATATAGAGAGATTAGAATCAAGATTTATAAAATCACTTATGGTGATGGCAAGTTTATGCCAATGGCAGAATGGGTAGCTAAAGGTTGGCTGCAATGAAGATGAAGTTAGAAATTTATAAACCAGAAAAATAAGTCAAATAATTAAAAATAAGTTTGAGTTCAAAAAATTTATAACTTATAAAATTTGTTAGGGCTAAAAATGACACAAATTTAAAGTGAAAAATATCAAACAAGGTGTTCATTTTTAAATGATTTGGTATTTTGTATAAATTATATGCAACTCAATTTGTGTTTACCGTACATATGCAAGCAGATAGGTTTTATCAAACTCAATTTGTGTGTAACAATATTGAAAATTTTAAAGAAAATAAATTATAAATTTAGTGCGTAAGCGAAATAAATAATTAGAGTTTACATTCTTTACACAATAACTGAAAGTACTAAATAGGGCTTACAAGAATAATCATTCTAAAAGAACAATTAATAATCAAAAAAATAAATTAAAAGTAAACGACTGAACGTTCTATTCGCAATTCTCTTGTGGTTTGAGCTCTAAATTCTGGTTCTCTTGATCTGAAATGGTTAATGAAAGTTACACTAATCCAGTAAAAATATCACACTACTCACCGATACATAAATAAAGGTTGATAAAAATCATAAAAATAACTAATTGAACTCTTAATTAAGCAAAATCATTTATCACAAATAAAACAATTTACCATCAATAAAACGATTTACCATCTATTTACCGTAGCGAGATTTTTAAAAAAATAACGTATAGAGACAATAACAGAATAATATTATAATTTCATATGCAATCGGTTGAAAAAACAATTTTCTTTTTTATCAATTTACTAGTATCCATGGGGGTCCATAAGAATTTCCCCACAACGCGTGAATCATTTCCTTTAACATTTCCAATTAATGGGCCGTCCCCATACCCCGTTCAGTATGAGCGCCAAATTACTAAATCTCGATACCTCATCCGGTATGAGGATAAAACGGGTCGTTCTCATACTCCGTCCAATATGAGTGCAAAATTACCAAATCTCGGTACCCCGTCCGGTATGAAGCAACGTTCACGGTAGGGTTCTCTGTGTACCTGTTCCGTCCACCATCTCCCAATATATCTAATACGACTGTTGTTTCATCCATTCACTTAATCAAACAGTTTTTCGACTTCCTTTAATTTTCAGTTTCTCAATTCAACCATAATCACATAAAATAAGTAATACATACATTCAAACTATAAGATCAATCAATCAAATATTATCATGCATTCAAACTGTAAAATAAATCAACAGAATCAACAGTAAATAATTTCTGATTCTGGTTCTATTAGTGACCTATAATTAATTATAGATATTTATTAAATTGTCCAAAACACCGTATTATTATTAATTAGACTTCAATTCCATAATAGAGAATAAAGTGAGGGATTCTTACTCAAATTGATACCCGAAATACTAAACTTGTTGGCTGCGCCTACTGGCAGTCCCCAAGTTCCTTGAATTTTTTTTCAATGATTAAAATGCTCTTCAAGTATCTAGAAATATCCTAAAAAATCCAAAATCAGTGTTAAGACCCCTTTTTGGCCAATTCCAGAATTCCGGCACGGCGGCTCTACCATGCTCCGGCGACGGCACCGCCACTCGCGGCAGCAGTTTGCCTCGGGTCGGCTGATTTTGACTGTTTTCGGTCGAATTCGGCCGATTTTGTATCAATTCCTACGAGAAAACACGTTAAGGGCCTCGGTTGGCCGGAAAAAATCAAAAAAATCGAAACTCACTGGCAACGGGGTTCTTCGGTACGGCGGCTTCGCCGACTCACCTTTGCGGTTGGGTGCTTTACTTCAGTTAATGTAGCACCCGGAAAGGTGGGAAAAAAAAAAAAAGGGGGGGCCACGTCAGCAGCCACGTCAGCAGGCCCAGTCAGTAGTCCCGGCCAACCGGGGCCTGCCACGTGGCAAGACCGCGTCACTCCGAAAGGAGCCACGTTGGCGATCCGCGTGGGTGCGATCCGACGGCCCAGATTCAATCGCACGGA